GGACCCGTCCAGACTTAGACGGATAGATCTCACTGAACGCGGAGTAATGTGGGTGTTTACTTTTTGTATTTGCACTATTTTTACTTTGACACGCTATTGAAGTGATTTCTAAAAAGGTGTCTCATTTAATATCCATGCTTCTGTGAGTCGAATCTTCACTTGAGCCTGGTAGAGCCTCACACATATAATTTAGAAAACATTATCCAACTCTGGACTGACCTGGAAAGCTTAACATTTTCTGAACTAAACTCACTAAAACAGCACGACGCAGTCAAACTCTTAAAACTGTCTTCCAAACTTCCAAGAATGTCGGCTCAGCTCCGTGTTTCTTAAGTATTAACGGCGATATGTTCAAACATGTATCAGATGTCACTCTCCAGAGTCAGACCCCCTTATCCCCCTCCCACCTCTTTCACTCCGAGACCCTACTCCCCCTCACCTTCCCAATTTCCCAACATTCCTGGGCCGTGCCCCATCAGTCAAAGGGCCAATTCATGGGGTTAATGCTGCAGCGAGTGCAGACAGGGCTTTGAGACAGGATGTTTGGCTGATACCTTGCTCTGCTTAAGCAAACAAGCCACCAAAATATGATTACTGAGGGCAGAGAGAGAGAGAGAGAGAGAGAGAGAGAGAGAGAGAGAGAGAGAGAGAGAGACAGTCTTCTTGTCTTACTTCAGTGCATCCTGGCCATACTAATGTCCACTAAGTATCATTGCTTTACTTGTTTCCACATGTTCAAAAGCCAGAGCCTAATGACAACAAGGTGGACAAATGTTTGACAAGCACAATGATGTCATATGATAAAAGCTGACACGGACATCGCTAACCCTTTGGCATTGTCTCTCGATCCCTTGAGATAAAAAATGAGCCCATGCATGTCAATGCTGGGAAAAACATACCAATCTCACAGGGAAATTCTGGTAAAACAAAAAGTCTGCAGCCACGCTAGCAAAGGCTGTAATGTTCACTGCACACTGAAAGTCCTAAGTGTTGCTTAAATCAGTGTTTCTCAAATGTGGGTGTGCATACCACTGGGTGTACTTTGGAGTATTGCAGCGGGTATATGAGATAAATGTTAACTTTATTGCATACATACCTCCAAATTTATGAGCAGTTTTACAGGAACCACCATTAATGTCAGCCTTTAATTAGAAGAGGGAAATATGGGAAATTCCTGACATGCGTAATATCTTATCAACTTGTCAACAACAATTCAATTTAGTGTAAATAAAATCCAATATCAATTCAGTTATTTATAAATGAGCTACAGCCCATCCAGTTTGTTTATATGTAATTTAACCTGCTAATGAAAACCTGGTATTGTGGGTAGACTGAGTTTGGCTTTGAGCTGAATGCTGAAGTGTTAACATGCCTAAAGATATGTTAACAACATGTATGTCACCAACTACTGCATGTTAACACAGTGAGATTTAGCACATAGCATATTAGTATTAGTAATATAGTGTTACCATGTAGCATCTGCTTGACATATCTAATGTGTATCGTGTTGCTAATTTTAGCATATAATCAGATTGAATTGCTATTTCGCTTCACTTGATCCATTCAGTCTGACATTGTGTTCATGTTATCTGATTTCTGCTTGAATGGGAGCCTATTTTGTTTTCACAGTGACACATAAGCTGATTGTCAGGAGCGGTTAACTTATTGCTTTTCACAGTGATCAAAAGACAGATTTACAAGTCGTTATTTCGCTCGTCGACATTACAACAACCTGTACAGCTGCGAGGAGACGTCTGGAACAATATGCTAGCATTTTATGTCGCTCAAGTACAGCTGAGACTGACAGGAACTCATTTTGGAGGTATCCTGTCATGGACTAAGTTTTCTTTTAGTGTATCATTTGAAATGTTGGTTGTGCCAAATTCATTCGACCCACGAATGTCATATTTCATTACCAAACAACCAACAATGCCGATACAACCACGCCGTTCATGTTCTGGCAAACAGTGCATGGTTATAGGTTTATGTGACATTGGCGAGAAGAAGAGAATATTATGCGGAAAAAAAGTGTATGTGTATTTAGAGTAGGGCTGCACAGTTAATCAAAATGTTATCTAAATAGCAAAAGCTGCAGTTTTTTGATAAAGGTTGACAAAACGAACTACTAATGAAGTACTGTAGCTCTGCAGAGATGCCCTAGCTGACAGAGATTGTTCTCTAGATGTAAGAAAACATGTTTGTTCGGTACCAACCCCAACAAATGTCACATCATCATGATTTTAGTGGTTTGTTTTTTCAGTAATAATGAAAATTGTGATGCAAAAATGTTTTTTTTTTTTTTTTTTTTTACCATATTGTGCAACCCTAATATAGAGATAATGCAATCACAAGCTTTTTCATATAGCCTATAACATACAGCAGACATGCCACTAATAGTTATACATCAATTATGACAGTAAAAAGCAGAACGTTGCCTCTCGTCCAACAAATCGCGTGATGGGTGAATGTGTGTGTGTGTGTGTGTGTGTGTGTGTGTGTTTTTGGCCTGATAGAACCCCTATGTGAGTACTCTGAGACGATCTTATCACTGAGTCAGACAGAAATTCCTCCCTTTCTGTCTCCCTGTCTCACGCGCACACACACACACACACTAACACACACACACACACACACACACACACACACACACACAGAGACAATAAGCAGCTGAATGACACGTTTTGTTGGAGTCACAGAGGGATGGTCCAAGTAGATATAAGCCCACTAAACTTCCAGTAGACATTTCCCTTTTTCAAAGCAGGGCTGTTTGCTGCGGTTTAAAGGGAACGTTAACTGATCGAATGATAAAAGAGGCCAGGGCAAAGGTATGTATAGACCACACCCTGCTGCAGCCTTTTTCTTCTTAAAGCTAGGGTACATAGCTGGTTTAAAAGGAATAAAAAAGATGCTGAAGTGCCAGAGCACATGTTCAATGCTTGTATTTGTTCTAAAGAAAACATCACAGGCTTTAGATGAATTGCCAGAGGATCACCTGCACAAAAAACATTAATTTACACTCTTGAAAGATCTAACCAACATCAAGGGATTTTTTAAGCTGCAGACAATTGTTTGATACAAGCTTCATGTTCAGCTTATTTCCTGTTATTATACCAACTGTAGCTCAAAGGAGGAGTCGTATAACCTGTAAAAGTTAACAACAAAAGCTACATGCAGATTTCTTAGCTACCTCTGTTGAGCCAAGTCTCTTTCCTACTCATGCTCTTGGCCTGAGCTCCAGTTCTCGGCTCCAGCGTTCTGGTGTGGGGGGCAGGGGATCAGAGACCACACACACACACACACACACACACACACACACACACCCACACAGACAAACACTACACACACCATATCTTGTAAGAAAACTGATCTATTTCCACTCATTTCACCAGGCAGACAATAGGAGGTAGCCTTTCTCACCACACAGCATGGACATGGCTCAAAATCACAACCTAAAACTTGACTCTTGATTGACTTGTGACCTTGACTGAGCCGCCTTTGGATTATTTTTGAACACAGCATCCAACAACAACACTTTTTGTCCTCATTTTGTCAGTGTAAATCAATTGAAAAGTACTTTAGACCATAGGCAGATTTGTTTGGACTCGAAAGTGTGCAATGGGGGATAAAAACAAGAAAAGTAATAGTGTGATTTTTTAAATTAAAAATTAAAAAGTGGATTGCTTATCTCAAGTGTCTGGTAGACACAGAAAACAGAGCTGTATAGCTACCATTGTGGACACTGAAGTCATGTCGTCTGCATTTTTGGTTTCTTGTGAGTTTGTGGGTTTTCGTACCCTGGGGGGTATTTTGTAAACTGGGTTTGACTTGTATGTGGAGAAGCCTTTGAAACAGCATTTAAACATTAATGTTTGGAATTGAAATACCTATAAAGTATATTCCAAATAATTAAATCATCTCCTATTTTAAGAAAGTGAAAGAAAGTGGGGATGTGCGCATTTGGAGGAATCATGACCTCTGTATTTCCAGAACGCTGGCTATGGCCCTGCCCCTAAACATGGAAAACATACAATAATAAATGGCTTTAACTTTAAACATCAAAAAACTTCAGGACAAAACGGACAAACAAACCCGAAGAAAGCCTCTCTGGAGTACTGCTGACTCTTCAGACAGGTCCGTGATGCCGTGACTACACTACACAGACTTCATAGGTGCCCATTCACCTTTCAACACCGTCCACAAGTGAGCCCAGGGAGGCTTGATCAGAGTGGGTTTGTGGGTTTCTTCTAACGCTACAAGGACCTCTCCACCCGACCCCAGCACGTAAACAAATAAAGCTCCAGTTTCATCATCTAGAGGGGGCTGTTTCCTGTCCAAACGCAGCCCCCCTCCAACCCCCTTTCCACATATACACATACGCACACACAAAACTCTACACCTCCGCCTCATCAGAGCTGCTTGGCTCCCCCGCCCCCAAAATGCCAGCCTCTTTCCACTGCTCAATTGCCGAGAGGAATGGAGGGATTTGAGGGAAGAAAGAGGGAAAGAGGGGGATGGGTGGTTCGCGAGGCAAAGGGGATTGGGAGTATGCACGGGGATCTTATTGCAGCTTCATCCCAGTGAAATATTTTGCTGTGGAGAAAGCGTAGGGAGAGGGAGACAGAAAGGCTACACTGCTGTGGCATCTAGATAGCGAGAGACCCCCAGACCCCCACCGAGCCCTCCATGCCTCTCTCACAATAGAAGCTTTATGCAGTGGAGTTTTTAGTTGTCTTAACAGCTTTTTGAAAATAGGAAGGAAAGCACAACATAACAACACCAGCAAATGTAATTTACCCTGTTATGTAAACATTCAGAGAGGATGCACGCTGCGTGTGTTCGCATGCACGAGTGTGTGCGTGTGTAAGTGAAACTCAAAAACTTTTTTTTCCCATTTGTGCGTCCAAACTTCATGAATACAAATCAGGTTTCCACATTATATGCTGCTAAAACAAACACCTGTCTGGTCACAATGTTCTTGTACTTCTGCAGTAGTTACTCACCTGTGTAGTCTCTTGGCGTAATTTGAGGCGGACTTGAGAGGAGGGGGGGCACAGTTTCAGTGTAAGACAGACTTGAGTCTGGTGAATGTTAAAAAAAAGGAAAGAAAGAAGCACAAACATACAGAAAAAGAATGAGATCATCATTCAACAACAGCTTTGGCAGTCAGTGAATCATTTAAGTCATTTTTCAAACATTCAGCTTCTTAAATGTGAGGATTTGCTGTTTTTTATAATTATAAATACTTTTGGGGCAGTTGGTAGGAAAAAGAGCTGAGCTACTTTAGGTTTAATACAGTCTTTGGTTACTTTATACTACCTGTTTGCACAAACAGAGTCTTGCTGGCTGCCTGTTATAAACTCTAGATGTCATGCTCATCAAAAGACTAACTCTGAGTGGCTTTCCAGCAGCTTTTCAAAGATAATCTGAGTTTCCAGTCTAAAAATATGGCGGCAATGACACCCTCTGTGTCATTTATCCGTTTGTAAAGTGGTAGTACATTTTTCCAAACTCACCCAGTGGCTTGTGTTCATCTGAACGGGACAGAGAGTATGGGGGAGGAGGTGATTCTGGAAATACAACAAAAATGAAGTTAAAGACTGTTTAATCCTGAATTATCAACTGAGAAAAGACACCTCATGTGGTATTAGTTGCTGTATGAAACAATCAACTTTGAGTCTTACACAACAGTGATACCAGATGTGGATTTTACTGCATCAAGTGCTTACAATTTGCACAGTTAGTTTGTTAATCTGTGCCATGAACATACAAGTGTGCAGCAGTCCTCATGGACATAACTTAAACCTAACATTACATTGCAAACAAACAACATCCCCCTTCTGTCCCAAACTCTACTAATACAATCTGGCACAAACACAGCTCATAAGTTTCTTATAATTGTCCATCAAGAAGAACTGTAGCCCTTAAATCGTCATATAAAGAATAAAATGTTAAGTGGATCTCGCCTAAATCAAATAAAGTATTTCCTCTTCATGTAGACCATTAAACTTACCTGTTTCTATAATGGTAAGTAGACTAACCTGAACGTAACTATGCACAAGAGATCTTTGACTCTTCTGCTGCACATTCAAGGTGGAAGAATTTGCTCTGAGTACATGACTGCATAACTGTAAACATATTTGTTTTGAACTTCTAATATCCGACATTATTACTCAAATCCAAGTATTTCCTCCCAGTTTAGGAGCTGAATTTGATTCTTAATTTAATCCTCTGTGTGTTAAATCTTAAATCTTAAGTTACAGCAAAGGCATTTTCATTCACACACACTCTCAGGATGAGTTCTGTGTGAAACTAAGCAATGCTGCTGGCTGCTGATGGGATAGCTCCCCCTCAGTCCAAAGTGGACACGGGTTTGTGGCTACGGCCCCTTTAAGAGCAGAGCCAGTAATTGCCGGAGTCCTCAGTCAGTCAGATACCCAGCGAGTCAGTCTGGCGCCAGCACTATGCAAACTGTATATTATCGGCACTCCTTCACCTAAATAACAAGAGGAGGACCTCCTTGTCAGAGAAAAAAGAGCCTAAGTGCAACTTGAGAGCGACCTTCAATTGGATGATGTGGGAAGCAGCAACATTTTGCGCAAATTTAAATAAGTGTGTAATGTGTTAGGAATGCCGAGAGGAAATAAAAGTAATGGTTGACCAAAGTAAAAGCTGAGTTATTAAAATATTATAAAACTGTACGACAGGCAATAAAACACGAGTGTCAGTGACTCTCAGGGGGAGAGAGAGGGGAGAGGTTTGAGCTTTAATATGCTCAGTTAACACGCCAGCAAATGTTAAGATGACTTCAACAGTAAAAAAAAAAACTTAATGGGTGTTTTTTTTTACGTGTTTGTGACGTTGTTTGACTCTTTAATCAACAATAACAACATTCTTCTTAAGCTGCAGGCCTTCGGGCAAACAACACATTTTGATTTATTGGAAATCCCCATTAATTTCATGCTATCTTTCATACTGTATATGGGCCATCAATCTTTATGTTCATGACGCCCTTCACTTTTATGAGATTTCATTTTGGACTCTGCAAGGCTGAGTCCACCTGACTTTGGACCTCCAGGGGGTTCTGGAGGGAGTCCCAGGGGCCCCCGTGAAGATGTGTGATGGTTTTGATTTCACTGACGCCTAATGTGGTGGACGTTAGGAGGGCAGAGTGACACAGGTAGGCTATATTTACAGCTACCTCCCGTTGTTACTTATATTTCATAATTTGCACGTTGAAAGGTCTTTGCAAAAGGTGAAAGGTCTCTTATAGATCCAGTCCCCCACCCTCCTCCCTCCCCCGCCCCTTCAATGTTGATGTCCTTACCTGGCCCACATAAGCGGCTGTAGTGATAGGGGTTGCAGCACACCTTTGCACTGTCCACTGCGCTGAAGTTCTGGCAGTGGCACAGCGTTTTGAGCCGGGCTGAGAGCGGCATGTCGCTCCAGCGGTACATCTTACACATGAGATACTGTGGAGAGACGTGGTGAGCCCCGAGTCGAAGCTCAGTGCTCGGCACCATTACGCACTCGCTGGCTATCCCTCCTTTGGTCTCTACAGCCTTCACCAAGGCGTCCAGAGATCTCTCCTTGAGTCTTTTCAAAAAAGCATGAGCAGTGCTCGCGAGTTCCTCCTCCAGCCCCGCATGCCTCGGTGCGCACTGACAAGGGCCCCCTCCGTCTTTTCTCGGGGCCCAATAAGGGCTCCGAGGTCCGAGATCCCATTCCCCAAACAAACAACACGTCACCGTCCTACTGTCGCCCTCCTGTCCCCGCCGAGAGCCTCTGTGCTCCGGGACGCACATGGCACCCCGATCATCGTCCGGCTGCTCCTCTTCCTCCCTCTCCGGGCTCTCCGTCAGGTCTCCAGCCTCCCCTGTGAGTCCTGGAGCCGGGTCAGTGTGTGTCACCGACCGCTGCTCATGTCTGTGGAGCTTTCCTGAGTGTCTGCCACACGGACCGTTCCGTCCTCCCTCACCTCGTCTGCCTCCATCCCGCCCGTCGCTCTCGGTGACCAGACGGCTTCTCCAGAGTCGCCGTACAAGACCCGAGCGTTTCGACTTGAACATACGACAACCTAGACAGTTTTGGATGTGTCCTGTCGGTCCCGTCCGGGTCCCGGGAGATGCCACATCGATTTACACTCGTCGCGCAAGACCGGGGGTTTGTGCACGGTGCGCACAACATGCGCAGCCGGTGGTTTTCTGGCTCTCCCGCAGCATTAGAAAGTAATATTCAGTCATGCGTTGCGTTAAACATCACTAAACGTCTGTAGAAGGAGAAGGCTACACACAGTCACTGCTCAGTGACCTGCTGTCGCCAACTCAATTAAGCCACAACTTTTGCCAGCCCTCTCACAAAGCCTTCAACTCCCCAACACTCTGGAGATCCAGCACACAATCCACAAACCATACTTAAACCACTCAAAGAGCAGGATCAGTTTACAGTAACAAAAAGAGCATCCGAGACATACATCCAAAAGTTTCCCAGAGTTTCTCCTTGAGCTTCGTGAACCCCCCTTGGTCCGTATAATCCTTCTTTCACCCCGAAATAAATCCTCACAACTCTGAAATCCCGATGATTTCTGCCGCTGTGGTGGAAGCGATAATCCCGCTGCACAGTCCCGGGATAAAGCAGAGATGGTCGGGGACTCCTGTGCCAAACTCCGGGACGGATTCCGTGCTGAGAAGTTGTTTTAAACAGAGCTGGAATTACTCCACTCTCCACTCCCCTGCAAGTCCTTGCGGACGCACACACACACATGGACACACACAAACACTCACAGGCACACGCACACACGCTCCTGCACACCAGAGTGAAGTTAAACAGAGTAACACCGGGATTAGTCGACTGGGATTTTAAAAATAAAAGTATTAGCTAAACTACAGCCGGACAGAAATCATTAAATCAAATGCTCTGAAAATAAAATGTAAGAAAAATAAATAAAAAAAGAACCTTTCAAAATCTAGATGTTACTACCAACTGTGAACACATCTGCCAATTGTTTGTTGAAAAAAACAAAAAGTAAATAACAAGTAGCTACTTTTAAGGATGAGGTAAATTAAATCGTTTTTTTCTATTAAACCAAAAGTCTATTGATATACATCTTCTAAATTGGCCATATGCATAAATTAATTAATTAATTAATTAATTAATTAATTATAAGTGCAATGGGTTTTTTTTCTTGATAAAATAGCTTAGTTTAAGGTTAATATCACTTCATGTTCATCTGACCTGCTGTAACTGAATAAATCCCAATTAATTGGGATAAAAACACAGTTTTACACTGTTGTCCAAGAAACTTCTATCGTTTATCAACATAAACATCATGCTTTTATTTTGAAGCCAAGCTCACTGAGCCACCCTGTAATTCTGTACATTGACACACACACACACACACACACACACACACACACACACACACACACACACACACACTCTCTCTCTCTCTCTCTCTCTCTCTCTCTCTCTCTCTCTCTCTCTCTCTGTCTCTGTGTCTCCGTCTGACTCTAGAAGAGAGACAGAGAGGCTGCCTCTCTCTGTCTCTGCCTCCCTGTGTCTTTCTGTCTCTATCTATCTGTCCGTCTCTCTCTCTCTCTCTCTCTCTCTCTCTCTCTCTCTCGGGCCCCAGAGGAAAGCTCTGGAGCCATTGGTTGATTCCCGCCATCATGTGCCAGTCTAGACACTTTGGCGGCTGGGAGCCGCACTGATTGTTGCGCAAACACGGTTTCAAGTTTCTTAACTCTTAAAGACGCAACATCCTGCTCTGCTCTGCTCGAACTGGAAATGTCCTGCAGCATGACGGTGATCGCAGTGAAAGTCTCATTGATCACAGCTGAATAGATAGATGATAATAGGACACATAAATAATAATAAAGGCCTCCATGATCCTGATCATATGTCTGTACTATAAGAGATTCATGTATATGGTGTGAAGTAAGATTTGGTCTGTGGAGCTCTTAATCAGTGGTGATCTTTAACCTTTAACCTTTAAAAGTATCCTAATTACTTACACTCATTATGCAAGATGGCCTCTTCAAAGGGATATTATATTACATATTATTGCTGTATTATTTATTGATATTAAACTGCAACTCCATGTTAAAAACGAATATATTAATATACTAACATTAACTACTTTATACACTTTTGAATAGTTTAACCATAATGCATCATATTAAAATAATATTTTTATTAAGTCTTAAGTCTCTAACTACTATAAGTATACAGTCTATTCTAGGTATGAGTATGTAAAATAAAATTGAATTTTAATGGAGAAGTAATACTGTATACTTGTATTATTATATTATATATCATTATTATTGTGATACACTATTATACAAGACCTTTTAACTTTATATTTAAATGCATTTATACTTTCAACTGAATCTCAAATATCATCAAACCCTTCACTCTACTGTTTCTTGATATATATATATATATATATAGTTCATTATCAAAATAATACAGCAAATACATCTTTAAAATAATACAATTATGCAGGACTGTGGCATTAGTAAATTACAGTATTACTATAATAACAGACTCACAATATGATGATATTAGGATGTGGCTCAGGAGGTAGAGCAGGACGTCCTCTGATCACAGAGTTGAAGGTTCGATCCTCGGCTCCTCCCGTCCGCATGTCGAAGTGTCCTTGGACAAGACACTGAATCCCAAATTGTTCAGCACCTTCTATATAAGCTCGCTGCCCACGGTGGTGTGAGTGTGTGAATGAGAGGCCAATTGTGCTTTGGATAAAAGCCATTTAACTGTTACAGATAGATGTTAAGTTCCAAACCCTGAGTGTACACTACACAAGTAGAGGGACCTGAATATTAAGAGCATGGGGGGGTAGATGGGGGTAAACAGGGGGTTAGGGTATCCCCCAGTGGCATCAGGCCAATCCTCCCACTGCCCGTCTCTGTGCCAACGTGACCGCCTCCAGCACAGCTCGAGACTGGCATTTTAACAACTCCACAAGTGTTGGTTCAAGTGGATGTTACGGCCGTAGGATTATCACAGTCTTCCTGGTGGGGGGACGTTCACACCTCATATCAGAAGAGTTAACCCTGCGTGTCGATGGTATGTCCAGTTATGTGTGTTGTACCAGGACCAGTGTGCCCAAACTCTACTGGAGTATGTTAGGGACGACAGGGCTGGCTGAAGAAGCGGGAGTCGAGTTACAATGACAGAAGGAGAGAGCCGAGGAAGAAGAGGAGAGCAGTGTGTGTGTGTGTGTGTGTGTGTGTGTGTGTGTGGCTGCAGAGGGGTTCACTGGCACCTGTTCAAAATGTGTTCCCCTGTGTAACTCAATCAGATGCAGAGAGGGAAGTGTTGTGGAAGAACTTCGTCCAGAGTTGAATGTTTCAGTGGCCACATAAACACCACTGGGACTCACAGCCATGGGAAACATGATTTATCGGTCTTTAAAACAATATATAAGCATGTGTATTTTTCCAATAGATCACAGACTCAGGAGAAATTCAGGAGCATTTACCATCCAACATCAGCCAACGTCATCCACTGTCAGCACTGGTGTTGTAATCTATATATATATATATATATATATATATATATATATACATTGTTCTCTGTAACTCATTATTGATAAAACATGAAAAGAAAAAGTCACAAGTGGGTTACTTCAGCTGAGTAAAACACATAAATCAAAGTGGGTGTAACATACATTCCTAGTACTCAACACTGAGTTATAGCAAGTTGTCAAAGTGAAAACACAGCAGGTTTATTACCAGTTCATGTGTGGCTGAAAGACTGGATGCATTTTTGTTATACTCATATTAATACTAGTAATAACTTTCTATGTAGAACTAAAAGTCAAATCTTGCAGAAAAGGAAAAAATGAACAAACTTTGGCAACTATTTCTTGCGATATTGCCCCGATTAAACAAAAAGCATGTGATGTAAATTCAAATGGAAAACTATGTAATAATAACAGCAACAATGATATCAAAAGGCCCAACCCAAAGTCCAAACAAATAGTAATTAATGGGAGCAAGACCTGAATAATATTCCCTCCCTATCACATCCAAGTTCTCTCTCTGTATGCATTCATGGACAAATACAGTTCCCTTAGTGTCCAATATAATAACTATGTACATAGTAGGTGGCTAATATACACATACCAAGTTCAGTATGTTTACATTATTCCCAGATAGGGCAATACAAGAATTATGCGCAATAAAACGATTAAGTATATAAAGGCTAATATGCACAATGAGCAATAACCATAGTTATTATATTCTTACTCCATAACTATGTAATCTATTACAGCAAATACAGTTAATTCTGATATTGTATACTGCCGTATATGTTGGTATTGTAATAATAATAATGACGTGGCACCTTACTGGAAATGCAACTGTAATTACATTATAGACAATGACAATAAAACTCTCTTAAATGACCTCAATCTCTAATCAATAGTCAGGGAACTACATAACTAAAACTCAAGGAGGACAAACTGGCGGCTGACCTGATTATTGGACAGTTGACAAAAAAGCAATAGTTTGTGCAGCCACACCATCATTGAATTACATTTTCACTTATTAAGACTGTACTGAGTGTATTGATCCCCTAAACAGAAATAGAAGATAAATAGTGGAAGCAGAACAGAAGATGATGAGAGGCATAGTTTTATTCAATAATATGAAGAGTTTTTAATGTGAGCTGTATTACTACAGAAGATCATCACAAACTATGTTCTATTATTTGATTTTGGACATTTTATGTCTTCATTAGAAACAGTAAAGAGATGAAAAGAAAAAGAGAGATGGGAAATGACCCACATAAAGCATCACCTGACAGATTTGAACCAGTACACTGTTGTTCATGATCAGCACCTTAAACATCTTGGCCACCTGGGTGGCACTTACCCATCCCTTGTAAAAACAATACTGATAGTTGTATTGAATTTAAAATATTTTGGAACTATTTTCTCTTTGCACTGGCATTCACAGACCAGTAGAGACAGCTGTTTACAGACTTCACTGTGGGCACATTTCATTGGATTTAGAAGAAGAAGATATACTTTATTAATCCCCTCTTTTTGTACACACACACACACACAGGCTGAAATACACACCTCATGCACATGCAACAGGGAGAGGGATGGTGGAGTGATGGGGCTGCGAGTTAGCATGAGCAGTTTCTTGGGGTTAGGTTGCCTTGCTCGGGGGCACCTCGGCAGTGCACGGGAGGTGAAACTGGCACCTCTCCAGCTGCCAGTCCACACTCCATATTGTTGTCTGTGGGGCTTGAGCTGGCGACCCTCCGGTTCCCAAGCCAAGTCCCTACACACTGAGCTACTGCCGCCCCAATTACTTAAGAAATAGTTACAATAAAAAGATGTTGACAGCATGTTCTGTGGATTATGTGTCTGTTTGTGGAGTGAAATTATTTCTGGAAAGAGCAATGTGTACGATATGGCCAGAATTATAGCTCATAAATGTTAAAACCATTATGTTGTTATGTCAAAGACGTCAGTGTATTGTGTTGTGCAGAGATAGCTACTGAAATTAGCATGCTAACCTGACTAGCTGCAGTCCATACTGTCTTGTAGGATGAACAAGTGGAGAACAGGGTGAAGCGAAGGGACAAAGCTGCTTCTAGCTGACAGACAACCACTGCAGCCCAGGTGAGCTTTGGGTAATGAGCCGGGGACAGAGTTGTATCGTAGTAACAACGGTTTCTTCTCTGATCCCGAGTCGTTTACTACCTGGAGATCTCAGAGTTTTATTGTTTAACTTTTGGGATTTAAATGTGGATTTATTTCACACCTGTCTGTGGTTACACTGTTGTTATTGTA